GTGTCACGCAAAACGCCCAGATTCAGCGCCCGTCTGAGAGAGAGAGAGAGAGAGAGAGAGTTTTGAGGTGTAATCAGTGCTGCCCAGGTAAAAAAAAATAAAAAATAGCACACTTCCATAATGTACTTAAAGTGCTCTATTTTCGCTCACTAATTTTGTACTTAATATACTAAAAAAATGATTCTTTAGTACTTCTTAAGATAAACTTAAGTTCATAAAGTCTTATTCAGAACTATTCAGTATGGGTTTTATGGCCTTATTTCAGCTACATTTCCCCCCAAAATCTTACTCTTATTATTATTTATTTCCCAAAATACTATCTCTGTATTTAAAAAAAAATTATTTAGTCACCACTTGTAGTACACTTGAACCCATCTTTCATACACTAGTACACTCAAGTGTACTACAAGTGGTTACTAAATAAATTTTTTAAATACAGAGATAGTGTGTTAAAAAGCACATTTTAGTTCATATTCATGGTGTCTCAAAATAGCACAGAGTACACTTAGATGATCTTAAGTTTATCTTAAGAAGTACTAAAGAATCGTTTTTAGTATATTAAGTACAAAATTAGTGCGTGATAATAGAGCACTTTAAGTACATTATGGAAGTGCACTTTTTTAACCTGGATGCAGCAGGACAGTAACACACACACACACACACACACACACACAAGCTCACTGTGTAATATAGTAGCTGATGTCTTTCTCTGATGAGGGACACACACACGCTCTTACACACATTACTGTCATATCTCTCACCAGACACACTGAATGTGGGGAATCAGATCCTGCGTGTGTGTGTGTGTGTGATGTGTTTATTTGCACTGGCCCGCTGTTCTGCCGCTTTAAACATGGCCTGCGAGTCTAAATGCCTCCAGATGTGCTGAGCGCTAGAGGAGATCTGATGTTTCTCACCAGCGTTCAGGTCAATCTGATACTGACGGTCCTCGACCTCTGACCCCGGGTCACGCAGAACGCCCAGATTCAGCGCCCGTCTGAGAGAGAGAGAGAGAGAGAGAGAGTTTTGAGGTGTAATCAGTGCTGCCCAGGTAAAAAAAAATAAAAAATAGCACACTTCCATAATGTACTTAAAGTGCTCTATTTTCGCTCACTAATTTTGTACTTAATATACTAAAAAAATGATTCTTTAGTACTTCTTAAGATAAACTTAAGATCATCTAAGTGTACTCAACTGTGCTAGTTTGGGAGACCGTGAATATGAACTAAAATGTGCTTTTAACTCCCTGGGGCCGAACACCGGCGCGACCAGCTCACTTTTGCGAAAGACACTAAAAATGCTCTGGTGATTTTGGTCACACAAATAAGTGTTATATATCATTCGAAACTCTTAAGTATCTACTTTTATTTGTGTACACTCACAATAACAACAAAACTTTGTGTTTTTGTAAAATAAAGAAAACAAACAGGGATCGTTCGCGGTCTTCTGTCTCCGCGAATATCCATCTGAAACTCGTCACTAAAATTAACTGAAACTCAGCGAATACTTGACAGACAGACATGAGAGATATAGCTATAGAAAGCTTGGAGTGTCTACTTTTAAATGAAGTAAGTATTATCGAAAACAAATATTACACACACCTCTGCTGCATGAGTGCTGTATTATCATGAAAATGATCATTCTGTCATTTACTGCACTCGTTCCAATCCTGTATGACTATCTTTCTTCTGATATTTTGACTTTCATTTCATGGACGCACACAAAAAAAAACATTAATAAATTTCTCAAAATATCTTCTTCCACATTCCACAGAGGAGAGTCAGTCACACAGGTCTGAAGGACACAAGCGAGACTAATGGCGCTTTTCCACTGCGTGGTACGGCACGGCTCGGTTTCCCGTCTAAACTCATTATCTCTAATGAGATCCCGCCCACGCGTGGCTTGCGCCCTTCATATGATAATATCCACGTGAGACGCGCGCACATGTAAACGCCCAACGTAAACACAGCGTGAGGATAGTCAAGTTCATCGCGGCTACTGTTAGTTTCTGGAAGAAGACACGCTGTGAGGGATAAGCCAGAATTTACCTCTTTAGAAAAAGAACCAGACGTGACGCGAGCTTCATCCAGTGGAGGAGATCAATCTGATGAGTAAGTAATATTTCTTTTTTGCATTAGTTAACGAGTCTTTGTGACATAAGTGAACACATTTACTGGCTGGGTTTTTCCCAAACTATAATTCCTGACTAAAATGTCTGAAATCGAGTGAAACATTTTGAATATGATGGGCAGTTCATTGTATCTAAATTTCTTATGACGCGATGATGTTTTCATGCTCTATATAAAACAATAGCCTATATAAACTAATATGAGTGTACACTGTAACATGATGAATGCTACGAGTCTAAGAATGTTTAGACCATGTTTATTGTTAATACTCTGTTCACAAATATATTTTTATAACTGCTAAACAATAATAATTCGTTTCTTAGATATAAAATGTCCTTTTTTAGGATAGTACAAAGCATGCGTGAGTATACGACTATAAAATCTATATATATACAGATGCTCCTGATATTAACATGCTCACAAAAGTACCGAGCCGTACCGTGCCGTACCATGCAGTGGAAAAGCGCCATAAAAGAAGACTAACACAAGGATGATTTCTGGCTGAAGCCCTAAAAACAGGCTTCATTATCGTTATGCTAAATATAATTTCTCATTGTGTTTCCATGAGATCCAGCGGCTGTCTGCGTGTGTTTCTCACGCCGCGTCCAGTGACATCATGACTCGCGGTCGCCGCTAAATGGCCCTGTGCTCTGAGAATTCTGGGTAACGGCACCGCGAGATTTACTGCCACAGTCAAATTCGATTGCATTTAATTTAAGCTAAACTTAGTGTAATTAGTGGCGTTGAGGAGGAAATGAAAGGCTGGATGGTGAGCTGAGCGTGTTCGGGTGTGACGCGCAGCCCTTCCTGCAGACCAAACACACGCCACACGCCTGCTCTCCATCAGCCTGATAAGACTTTAATATCCTCATACACACATCATCATCATCATCATCATCATGGCCTCTGAGAGCCGTAACTCGCCACACGTCTGTGAGCATGCTGTGGGAATTCACCGTGTTTGAACTCGCATTTCAACATCTTAATTGCTCTGGTCATTTATCTCCCGCCGAGTTTATATGTCACAAACAGCCTGTAAACACACGACGAACCCAGCCATGTGCTCAGCAGAGAGAAACGGATCAATATCTGACTGAACACCGAGGCAGACGCTGACCTTTGACCTCCGGTGTGAATCATGTTCAGATGAGCAGTGTCTCTGTAATGAAGCGCAGTGTGACCCAAACGCTCAGCGCACAAGAGACTCGGCTCACTACTGATCTGAACAGCTCACTGTTAAACTGATCAGTATGGCGTTACATTTGTGCCAAAACTATTGACTGCGTCTGTGTATATTAATATACTGTTATTGCTGTTGTGTCGTCCTTCCTGTCATATGTTCAGCTCAGTTTTCTGGTTTTTAAGTTTCTGCTCTCAGTGAACATTACACAACATATTTCACTGATATCCAGGTAAACAAACAGACATTTAGATTCTTCAGTAATACGTTAATAGTAATGCATTTATCTGTCTGTTATATAATACAAATTAATCTATAGGCTAGTGTTCAGGTCTCATCTTCATACTTTGTTGTAATATTTGGAGGTTTAGAAAGAATTAAGAAAGAAACAGTTAAGAAAGAAACAGACTTTCATAAAAAAGCAAAACAAGATGACATAAAGCAAGTACAGCCACATCAACATATACTAATTAATCTTAACGAGTAAGTACACAGTAGCCACTTTTCCACCGTCGGGCCAGAAGGGCTTCACTAAAACCTGCCCTTTACACGCCTCTCCAAAACAACGTCACACAACCCCAGCATTTCACCAACAAAGAGAAGATTTATCAGAAAACTAATTGGAAATAAATCACTGCAACTAGCGCGATCACAAAACGAACATGATAAAAGCGGCCGTTTGTTTGCATTGTTTGTTGTTTACTGAAAAGATTTAAATCCAAAAGCATCAATGGTTTACAGGTTTTACAATAGTTAGTGTTACATTGATCATAATGAATTAATTTGTCAGGATTGAAAATTAGTCACACGGCAATAAAGTGGTATTTACCGTTATTACACAAAAGAAAGTATGTTTTATGACATACTAGGGGTGTGCGATATATATGTGACCCTGGACCACAAAACCAGTCTTAAGTGTCAATTTTTCGAAATTGAGATTGATACATCATCTGAAAGCTGAATAAATAGCTTTCTATTGATGTATGGTTTGTTAGGATAGAACAATATTTGGCTGAGATACAACTATTTGAAAATCTGGAATCTGAGGGTGCAAAAAAATCTAAATATTGATAAAAATCATCTTTAAAGTTGTTCAAATGAAGTTCTTAGCAATGCATATTACTAATCAAAAATTAAGTTTTGATATATTTACGGTAGGAAATGTACAAAATAACTTCATGGAACATGAGCTTTACTTAATATCCTAATGATTTTTGGCATAAAAGAAAAATTGATAAATTTGACCCATACAATGTATTGTTGGCTATTGCTACAAATATACCCCAGCGACTTAAGACTGCTTTTGTGCTCCAGGGTCACATATATCGTCTGCGATAATATTGTAATTGTTGTTTCGATTTGTGCGATTTGAAATTATCGAGTATTCTGCAAAAACCAAACAAAACACAGAGTGCATGCATACATTACGTGAAGTCTAGACTAGTGCGAGTGCGCATTTAGACTGCGTTCTATTCACAGATTAATCATATCCTTTTTCTGCGATTAATCGCACACTTCATGAAATTAAGCATAGACCATTTATCTTGTTTCAAATGTTTATTTTGTCATCATTTGCTATATCCAGCAAAGTAAACCAAAAGATTGAAGGGTGATTCTCAAAAATCGGTATTTTCTGCAAGCTTTTTTCAAGATAAATTTAGATGTCTTTCCAAAAAAGGACACTTAGAAACTCCAAATGGACACCAAAGAACCAAATAATATAAGGAGCCCATATAAGCACATATGAAAGAAAAAAAAATCTGAATTTTATAGTATGTGCACAGTGCAACAGCAAAGAGCTTTTTTACATTTTAGAGAAGTCAAGTTGCGATACAGAACAGGACCACATGGAGATGCCAAAAAAACCCTAAACCAATCGCCTGCTGACTGCATATATCCAAAAGGACACCAAAGAACCAAATGATATAAGGAGCCCATATAAGCACATATGAAAGAAAAAAAAATCTGAATTTTATAGTATGTGCACAGTGCAACAGCAAAGAGCTTTTTTACATTTTAGAGAAGTCAAGTTGCGATACAGAACAGGACCACATGGAGATGCCAAAAAACCCTAAACCACCCGCCTGCTGACTGCATATATCTACTGCAGTACACGGATCCATTCAGAATAACTAAACACAAGAACATACATATGACAAATCAAAACATTATCGTGAATGTGTGTGGAAACAACATGAATGTACGGAAATGTCTGTGCCTGTGCATAAATACAATGTGGATAAGTGCATCAAGAGCACTCATACACGCATTATTATAGCGGACTCACGCGTGCTTACTGTACTGTACGACTCCTGTACGCCCCCGCAATCGTCTTTACCTTGATTCCAGTCTTCATCCATCAAAACTTTACTAGCGATACTGGTTATCCAGCCGCCATACAGCGGTGGGATGTGTTGACAATCCCTTCAGTCTGTACTTCACACAGCGCGTGTGACGTGTGAGGGCTCGCGCTCTTCAGAGACAATCACAGAATATGACAGAGCTCGTGTTTAAAAGCGAAACACACTGGAATGAATAATTCACTTAAAATGCAATGCGAGTCTCTGTTCTCTGAATCTCTGATATAATCAGCCTGGTTTACTGTATATTAGCGCTGTTTTGGACGGATTGTTTGAATGCATTCACTTACTGGATCATTGGACTGAAAACTTTCCTGGAGTTTAGCGGCTTAAAATTATCTAATCGCAAGCAGAGTAGCAAAATTGGGTTAAAGGGTTAGAATAGAAATTGTGCTTCAGTAATTTTGCGTTAATTGCGTAAAATTTTTTTAATGCGTTAAGGATTGTAAAATTAATTGCATGCGTTAACGCGATAACAATGACAGCCCTAATAAGAAGCTATAGCAATATAAACGAAAAGCCAAAACTAATTCATTTAGGCTAAACCGAAACTGAAACCAACGTTGGGTCTCTCATTCCACATGAAATCAAATGTTTCCGTATTCGCGATGTATTTGAATGGCAAATTATTATTTATTATGTAGCCTACTTCACTGGCGTTCCATTATCCACATAAAACAAAATGGCTTGTATAACATCATTCACGGCGGTACGGTGATAACACTTAACGGCACAGATTTTACTACATTTTTTTGAATTAATTTAGGCTAAAACGAAACTGAAACCAACGTTGGGTCTCTCATTCCACATGAAATCAAATGTTTCCGTATTCGCGATGTATTTGAATGGCAAATTATTATTTATTATGTAGCCTACTTCACTGGCGTTCCATTATCCACATAAAACAAAATGGCTTGTATAACATCATTCACGGCGGTACGGTGATAACACTTAACGGCACAGATTTTACTACATTTTTTTTTTACTACATAGTTTTTTTTCCATATGTTTGACTGACTGTATTTTATGATGATAATGTACAGGCTGCATTGTCAAGGTAGCAATGCTTAACTGTGTGCGCGCATGCGGCGCCGGCGCAATCACTTGAGCTTTTTCCTTCTAACAGTGGAAGCAACTACTCCTTTTAGTCATGAAGATAATCTGAATTGTAAAAGGTTTGCCTTTATTTGTGTACATTCACAATAAAAAACAAATCTTTGTGCTTTTGTAAAATAAGCCTAAAGAAAAATAGGATGCCACTTTCTGCCGTCTTGGTTTCCGTTCACGCAGCACAAAAATGAACCGGAACTCTGCATATTAGGCTACTTGTTGCACAGTTTTTCTTTAATTTTCTTAATTTTTTATTTAAGTAAAAATATGTTTCTCGTATAGGCCTATTTATTCGTAATATAGCCTAGCTTTATGATGTTTTTCTCTGCTGGCAGAAGCGCTGCAGGTGCGTGATGAAGACCATGTGAATCCTCATGTTCTGCTGTTTGCTGCTAATGTAAAATTAATCCCCGGGAAACAAATGTTAGTATTTTTTAACGGGTCACAGACACTTATCCTTTCTAATTGAATTCAATTCTAATTGAAAATAATCTTGTCGGTTAACAGTTAACAATCGGTTAATGAGCGTCGGTTGTCGATTAGGAAAAATAACCGAAATGAACATCCCTATCAACAATTCTTATTAAATGATTATATTTACATTCATTATATCATGTGAGAGACCGTGACGATGGGTTTTGTTTGCCATTCAAGTATGCAAATAATTAACCTGAGCCAACCAATGACCAACCCACTCAATTCAACTTCCACCCAGCTGAGAAATACTTCAGCAGACGTTCTATGCGCTTTCCTCTTGAATAAATATACTAGAATTCAAAAGATAATTAGTCCTGTTAATGAAGATTTTCATGTAGTTTAACTCGTTCCTCTGAATGAAATGGAATCAGGATCAAACACATCACGAGAGGAACAACAGCAAAACACACGGGAGGTGTTAGTGTGTGTGTGTGTTTGAGAGAGAGAGTGTGAATGTAAGTGTTGTGGTTGTGATTCTCACAGTGGGAGCGTCTCAGAATAGCATCAGAGAGACCACAACTATTCACACACACACACACACACACACACACACACACACATGGACCCCTGCCATTCTCTTTTAGTGCCTGACTGTGTGTGTGTGTGTGTGTGTGTGTGTGTGTGTGTGTGTGTGTGT